CGAAGAGGGTGGCGGTTGATTCGAGGCAGAGAGGGAGAGAGAGAGAGAGAGAAAGAGCGATAGAGAAAAAACATATAAGAGAGGTAGAGAGAGAGAGAGAGAGGGAGGAGAAAGCGAGAGAGAGAGAGAGAAAACAAAACAACAACAAGAGGGAGGGAGGAGGCAGGATAGTGGAGGGAGAAAGGAGGAGGGAGAGGAGGGAGAGGGGATAGGACAGAGAGGCATGAGGATGAGGGAAGGGAGGAGGGAGAGAGAAGGGAGGAGAGAAGGGACGAGGGAGGAGGGGGAGGGAGGGGGAACAGGAAGGTAAGAGCGTCAACGCTCGAGGAAGTCCTAAGCGAAATCGCCGTTCCTGAAGGAAGTCTCGGGCGGGAACCCACGACGGGCGGGCGATCCCCTGACGGGCGGGTCGGGCGGGTGGGACATTCAAACGGGATGCGTGAGTATGGCGACCGCGAGATTCTTAAGTAAATTGTGACGGCGTCCTTGGCGCAGCGTGTTTCCTGAGCGTCGAAAGCGCGATTTTTGAACAAATAGCACGGAAGTCACAGGCGAGAGAGCGCAATTCTTGAATAACATGTGAGGGGCTCTCTGGCGGGAGCGGCGGTTTTGGTTAAATTGTGTGAGGAAGTCTTGATTCAATTGCGAAGACGTCTCAAGCGGGAGAGCCGTCCCCGAGTAAACTGTGAGGAAGTCTCAGATGGGAGCGCGGGTCCCGACTAAACTGCGAGGAAGTCATAGGCGGGAGCACCGATCCTGAGTAAATTGCGAGAGAATCTAAGGCGGGAGCGGGGGTCTTGAGTAAATCCGAAGGAAGTCTCAGGCGGGAGCCGTTGTTGTTGTAATCCGGGGGGCCAGGGGCACAGTTTGAGCAGGAAGATTTCCCTTGTCAAAAAACAGGGTGCGAGCGTCGAGGGGCACAGTGTGATTGAGTATGCACCGGTGAGGGGGGATCAACAACAATTATTCTGCAGAAATGAAAATTCAACAACAACAACCACAACGACAACAACAACAACAACAACAACAACAACAACAACAACAACGACGCAACAAGCAGAGTCCTCACCACGGATCGACATTTTCAGTCACGCACCCAGGGACAATGAATGACCGCTCGGCCCCCTCAGTCTGACGTTTTCCCATGGGAATAGGACGATGTGTGCTTCCTCGGGGCTCTTTCAATGGCCTCTTAGGGCGTCTCGGGGGCCTCTTGGGCCGTCTTCAGACCATCGAGGTTCCTCTTGGAGCCTTTCCGATGACCCCTCTGATCGCCGTGAGTCTGCTCGCAAGGCCTAGCAAGGCGCCTTGGGAGGCCCGGAATGGCCAGCGGACCTTTTTCCAAGGGCGTCCAGGGGGCCGCCGAGACGTCCGAACGGGCGTCCGGGGCGTCCCTGCGGGGGGGGGGTCCGGGCAATGAAAATATAGTAATAGGAATAGGAATAGGAATAGGAATAGGAATTTACACATAGCACCCCGCAGTTGCGGAGAAGAAGAGTGTGAGGGGGCGGGCGCGGGGTGGGTCGCGGGTGGGTCATGGGCGAGTCGCGGGTGGGTCGCGGGGTGGGTCGCGGGTGGGTTGCAGGTGGGTCGCGGGTGGGTCGCGGGTGGGTCGCAGGTGGGTCGCGCATGGGTCGCGGGCCGGGTCGCAGGATGGGTCGCGGGTGGGTCGCAGGTGGGTCGCGGGCCGGGTCGCGCGGTGGGTCGCCGCGTGGGCGGATCGCGGGGTCGGTCGCAGGCGGGTCGCGGGTGGGTCGCGGGTGGGTCGCGGGATTGGTCGCGGATGGGTCGCGGGTGGGTTGCGGGTGGGTCGTGGGTGGGTCGCGGGTGGGTCGCGTATGGGTCGTGGGCGGGACGACGACAACAAACAACAAACAACAAATACAACAACAATCCGCACAGCGGAAGCCCATTTCAGCCTCGCTTTCAGGGAAATCGAATGACCGCTCGCCCCTCACAATGATACAGATTCGCACATGTATCTGAATATATGAATGTATATACACATATCTAAACACCGACTTCTCAATATAATTATCGGGCGACCAGATCCTCGGGCCCAGGGGGGGCATCTTTCCGCAATTAGGCTTGCCTGAGGGGTTCTTACTTGGTTAAAGACTGGTGTCTCGGGACCCTGAATTGCCAGTTTCTCTCAGATTCCTTGGGTTCCTCGGGTTCCCCGTCTTCCTAGCCTTAGGCGCCCCCGATTCTTACGTTGCCCGTTCCTCGAAGGTTCTCTGGGGTCCTCGGGTTCCCCGGGTTTCTCGCCCCCAGTGCGTCGTATTGTTACGTTGCCCGTTCCTCGGGGGTTCCTCGGGTTCCCCTGGTTCCTCGGATTCCCTGGGTTCCTCGGGTTCCCCAGGTTCCTCGCCCAACCAATGCCAGGCATTGCCAAGCAATGCCTACCCATGCCAACCCATGCCAACCCATGCCAAGCAATGCCAATCAATCCCAAGCAATGCCAAGCAATGCCTAAAGATGCGCCCAGTGACGGCCAGCGATGCGCCCATAACAACGAGGCTTTCCCCCAATTCGGGTTGCGCCAGTTTCATGTTAAAACTCCCCCACCCACCTCAGGTACTGACTTTAGCCTTGGGGGTCTTGGGGAAGCCTGGCGGCCAACGTAACATTGCATTGCATTGCATTGCATATGCACTATGTGTTTCTAGCCATTCATTGCACAACGTGCGTGTTGCTGTTGCATTGTGTTGTGTGTGCATTGTGTTGTTTTGTGTTGCATTACATTGCACTGCACTGCTTTACCATTGCATTTGCTTTTGGCCACGTCGCTTCGAATTGCAAAGCATTTGCGCTGCGTGTCTTTGCTTGCGTGCATGTTCTGGCATATTTTCGGCCTTGCTCAATGTTTGTGCAAGGTCGCATGTGTACATCTCTGAATGCATGTATCAGTATATGCAGTTGTATGTTAGTCGAAGGCGGGGGAGGGGGGTGTTTGAACCTAAGCGCGCGCGCTTGGTTCTATCTCGTAATGTTATGAAGCTTGCGTCTGGACGAGGCACAAGGGAGCCTTAGAAGTTGTTGTTGTTTTCCGCCTTGGTTTTGCTGTGGTGTCTGATGGCTGATCGCAAAAGTTTGGTCCCGGTCGCCTGCTGGTGGCAACCCAGAAGTTTTCGTGGCGGGGCGCGCCGTGCCGCAGGGATGCCCCTGTGTTCCGTGTGCCGAAGGAGTGTATGGCCCCCCCCCCGTGCGATCGGCACCGCAGACTTGCGCACCAGAGGAACCATACTCAACTCGTCCTAAAGATTGGCGCATCCTGACTCGTGTCGGTATCGTTTAACCAATCCCCATCCCCATCCCCTTCGAGACCCTCACCAAATTACCACCCCAGTTGGGGACACACCCCTCGAGGCCCAAAGGGAACGACCTATATCCCCATCCAGGGGGGTAAACCGGCCAGTGGGGCCCAGGCCACGCCGCTGGGGATGGGGATCGGTTAAACGATACTCATCGTGTTCCCAGATGAGACCGCCGGCGCCACCGCCCTCTTCTCCCTCCCTAAGCTCAGCTCCTCGGCTCGGGCCCGTCCGGTTCGCGACATCGGGCCGCCACTCGTGGCTTCTCCGTCGTCGTCTGCAGTGCGCGGCCCGAGGTTTCGACCCCTTCCCGATGGCGCGCCCCAGGGGCCGAAGATCAGGAAAAAGTTGCCCAGATTTCCAAAAGTACACCGGAGGAACACCCCAATCAGTGGATGATTTTCGCTGAGGAGATCGACCGGGAACCCGGGAGCCCGGGAACCTAGAACCCATCGAAATCGGCCCGGATTGCAATAACCGGGAACCCGGGAACCCGGAACCGGGAACCCAGGAACCCAGCTTGCTACCAAAACCGGCGGGAAATTTTCGCCAAATCCTTCAGCTTCCGCTGGGGCCCCTGCAGTGCAAGCACTGGTTGGGGAAAAGCATGTCCTCGGATATTCTGCACGCACGAAATGGGTACTGAAAGAATGGGTACATTGCCCAACAGCGGATCTTGTTCATTTTGAACAGGGCTCGCTGTCCACGCCGCCGCGGCCTGTGTCCATTCGAGACAGGAGGCCGCCTGCCCAACAGCGGCCGCTGTTGGTTTGGGACAACATTTGCGGTTGGGCATTGTACCCATTCTTTCGGTACCCATTTCGGGCGTCCTCCTCCTCCTCCTCCTCTTCCTCCTCCTTCCTCTCTTACCTATGGTAGTGGTGGTGGAAAATGGGCCCATCAGTCCTCGGATATCTCAGTGGTCGTTGGGTGCGCCACTCTTCCGCATCATATACGCTTGGCCTGACCCTTCGCCGTGGCTCTTGCCTTCCCTCCTGGTCCCGTGGGAGCGGCCTCTCTGGCCGCGCCACCGTCGCCCGCTGCCGCCGCGCGGGGAGGCGGCCGTTCGGCTGCACCCCGCCGTCTTCTCGCCAGCGAACCCGCTCGGATGCAGTGCCACTGTTGAGTCGGGCCTGTCCCTCTAACCGGGGGGAGTTTTGAAAAGTAGTCAATCGTCTGGGGACTTCTTTTCTGGGGTGTATTTTTGCGCATGTTTGAAGGATTGTTTGACGATTTGCTCTTCGTCCAAAATCTGCCTGTACTCCAAATCCCTTATTAATCGTCCCCCGGGTACGGTTGTTTAAGGCGCCTGTTTTGTAATTGGGGGGGGGGTCGGTTTATTGGGGCGTTTTCTTTGGATTCGAGCTCGGGGGGTCCAGTTTATCAAGGCGCCCCGTCGAAGAGGGGGGTCTGGAATATTGGGTCGCAGTTGGAGGGCGTCCGGTTTTTTTTTGGGGGGGGGGATGAATCAGGGATTTGGAGTAGCAGGGCACTCCTCCTTCTCCTCCTCCTCCTCCTCCTCCTCCTCCTCCTCTGCCTCCTCCTCCTCCTCCTCCTCCCCCTCCTCCTCCCTCCTCCTCCGTCCCCTCCTCCTCCGTCCCCTCCTCCTCCTCCTCCTCTTCCTCATCCTCCTCCTCCTCCGACCTGAAGCCCGGCCGAGCAGCGGCCCGCCGCCGCCGGCCCGAGGCGCGACGGCCGGAGGCTCGGGGCCGCCGTGGGCACCGCGCTGGGCAGGCACCGGGGCTGGGAGGCGCAGCTGCGGGTGCGGGTGCCGCGGGGCTGGAAGGCCCTGTGGGCGGCGCCGAAGCTCAGACATCGGAGGAAGGAGGAGGAGGAGGAGGAGGAGGGAGGAGGAGGAGGAGGGAGGAGGAGGAGGAGGAGGAGGGAGGAGGAGGAGGAGGAGGAGGAGGAGGGAGGAGGAGGAGGAGGGAGGAGGAGGAGGAGGAGGAGGAGGAGGAGGAAGGAGGAGGAAGGAGGAGGTTGACAGACCTCCTACCCTGACGCGTCGATGTGCGAATTGGCCGTTGTCGGTTCGCGAGAGGGCGCCGCGGCCGTCACGTTTGCGGGTCCAGACCTCGGCGGCGCAGAAGCTCAGACATCGGAGGTTGACAGACCTAGGAAAATCCGCCCCAGGGAAGTGGTCCAGACCTCTGGGCCCACGCATCGAAAACTTGGGAGCAGCCCGATGTCTTGGCCCGAAGGCCGGTTTTTTCTTCCCGAGTCGCTTTTTGACGGATCCGAGGCCCAGTCAGGGCCCCCCGACTCGGAGGTTGACAGACCTCCTACCCTGACGCGTCGATGAGCGAATTGGCCGTTGTCGGTTCGCGAGAGGGCGCCGCGGCCGTCATGTTTGCGGGTCCGGGTCCGTCGGTTTCGGTCCTGGGCCGTGCTCACGAAAGGGTGGTTTACAAAAGGGAGGCTTGTCCGCCGCCGAGGACACCCCACGCGTGGAGAAGAGTACAGTTGGGGCGCGCAGGCAGAAACCATCTGACCTTCGTGAGGGTATAATTACCCTGGGTTTCTTCGTGCCGCGCGCTGCGCGGTGCCTTCCCGCTGCCGTCAGAGACGCTGATGCGTTCAGGGTGCCCGTTTTTTTTGTTCCCCCTCAGGTGCACCTCGCGCACGGGTTTCCAGGGTTGGGTTTCTTGCGAGGGTTTCTTGCGACCGCGCCCGCACTGTAAGGTAGACGGTGGGGGATTTCGTCCATAGGGGAACGAATATTGACATAAACATAAAAAAACTCGGAGGTCGGCGCGGGTGTCTCGGAGCCGCGCTGGACCCCCCAGGCGACGCCTTCGGCGCCGCCCCTGGCGCGCTCAGGGCCGATCCGAGCAATCCGCGCGGACCTCCCAGTTTTTATGTTTGTGTCATCTTTCGTTCCCCTAGTTAGGGGACGTGCCCAGGAGGCTTCAGGCCCTGGAGGGTCCCTTATCTAATGTTGGCGGCGGGTATCCACGGTCAACCCACATTTGGTCCACGGCCTATCCACGATTGGGGTTCCACCTGCTTCCGGGCCCTGGATTCTTTATCCCACGTTTTCAATGCCCTCACCGTAGGTTGTCGCCGTGTTCGGCCTCGGGGGGCCATCGCCCCAGGAACGCCCCCCAACAAATATCTCGGTATGTAAAGCTGGTCAAGGGGAAGTGGTCTGAACCACCAGGGGTCCACGTTTCAAAAAAAGAAAACATGACGTCGGGGTTTCGGGAATGGGCCCAGGCATCTGGCGCCTTGCCCAAATCGGAGCGCGGCAAGCTTGTTGCTCCGGGGCCGTTGCAAACTGGTCCTGGGTGTTCGGGATGGAAAGAGCCGGCCCTTGGGACCCAGGTGCCCCGACTTCGCAATTTGTTGTCGCAGTGTGGCCCCCTTGAGGTCTGGACTTTGGTCGGACATGCCCCTCCACAGGAGGAAGATTTGAAAATATTAGAAAAATAATAAGGAGACGATTTTTCCACTATCGTTGACTATTTTCGAATATTTTTGGACTATGTTTTATTCTTCATCCAAAACCCGCCTGTAGGAGGACATGCCCGACCTAAGTCTGGACCCCTTCTCCAGGACCCGTGTTTCGTTCCCAGTCATGCTTGAAACTGTCCGGAGGGGCCAGGCGAGCGTCCCCATGGAGGCCGAAAGCGTTCAAAAACTTCCGGTCGTGGCGCGAGCGCAGGACGCGGCTCGGCAATTCGGACGCGTCGCCGCGGCTGTCGCGCAACAAAGCAACAGCACTTTATTAAAAGGCTTGTTTCCTCGAGCAAATGGCCCCTTCAAAGCAAAATTGTGTGGATCTCCTGCCTTCACTTCTCGCAGCGCGAGGAGGCGTGGGGCTCGAGAGGCCTCGGGGCCCCACGCGTCGAGCAATGCTTGAGGGTTGAGCTCATGGGGGGTGCTGCCGGCATGGCCGCGCAGGCTGCTGAGGGGATAAAGGGGGGGGGTTTATATATGATCCAGGGTCGAGGGTTCACGGGCCCCCCCCCCCAGATGGTATGGTCCCAGAGACGACGACGACGGCGACGACGACGACGACGACGGCGACGACGACGACGGCGGCGACTACGACGACGGCGACGACGACGACGACCACGACGACGACGACGACGACGGCTGCGGCGGCGACGACGCCGGCGGCGGCGGCGACGACGACGATGACGACGATGACGACGGCGACGACGACGATGACGACGACGACGATGACGACGACGACGACGACGACGAGGACGACGAGGACGACGACGACGACGACGACGACGACGACGACGACCTCTGAACCACCACAGCACCACACCACATCCACAGGGGGGGGGGCACCGCAGCGCAGCACCACGCCACGCCCACAGGGGGGGGCGGGGGGGACCATCGCGCGGGGGGGGGGGCCCAATGGCATCAGCATTGGGGGGGGGGCCCAAGCCCTGGACCATATATAGGTGGATGCGGAGGTGTCTCCGATCGAGCCAATAGCATCGCTCAGGAGTGGGTTGCTGAGGGGATCAAAGGGGGGGAGGGTTATAGGTGGATGCGGATGTGTCTCCGATCGAGCCCATAGCATCGCTCAGAAGTGGGTTGGCAGTGGGCTGGGCCGGCTGGCCCTGTTGGCGGGATGATCGAATCCACCCAAGCCGCCTGGGGGCGTTCGTGGTCCATTTGTGAGTTAGTCCGCGCCAGATATCACCGACCTCGGCATCCACTTGTACCCCCCTCACTATACCCTCAGCAACCCTGCGGTCATGTACTCTTGGAGTTCGGGCCCGCGTCGCTCGTGAGGCGCGCTCCCGGGATGTGTCCGGGAAGGTTGGATGTGTCGGTCGAGTATTTGATGTTTCGTCAGTTGGCCCCCGCTCGGTACCATCGGAATGGCGTGCGGAAAGAACGGCGACGAAAACCGACAGTAGATCCTGCCCAATTTCAACCGGACTTGCTGTTGGTGTCGTTGCCGACGTTATCAATTTGAGACGACAGGTCCCCTGCCCAACAGCGGCCGTTCTTAGTTTTGAGGCAGCATGTGCTTTTGGGTATTGTATCCATGATTATTGTGCCGACTTAGGGTGCGCCAACACGCGCTTGAAACGCGGGAGCCGTAGGCCAGCCGACCCTAAAAAAGAAGCGCCGCACTGGCTTGGGGAAGGGGTCCACGAACATGTGCATACCGATGGTCGCAGCTATGCGCGGTCCTCGGTTCTAAGACCATGTTCCCCGCATGGCATTCTCGATCCGCCCAGGCACAGGGTGGGAAGTACGCCCCGATTTCTCGTGGTCGTTATTGTTTTATATGCAGTTTGTTTTTGCGTTGGGCGAGTCGCAAAGAGGTACCGCCATTTTCCAATTCTAGTTGTAGGTTTCACTGCCCAAGTGGAAGCCCTCGGGCCCAGGCTTCAATATCCCCCCAGAAGTGAGTCTCTCTTGCAAGCTCGGGTTTTCGCGCATGTGTCTGCCATGTTGATGCCGCGTTGAGGCCCTCAGGTCAAGGTTTCAACATCCCCCAGCCGTGGCTCCCGCATTGCAGGCGTGGAGATGTCGCGCATGTCGAGGCCATGCTGAGGCTGCGCAAAGGCCCCCACGCCCAGGCCCCCGATTTGAATTCCTCAACGCGGGTTTGGATTCCGAGGCCAATGCTGAGTCCATTTTGAGGTCCTCAGTTCAGTGCCTCAGCAGGCACCCGACGTGAGTCCACCAACGCAGGCTCCAGAGCGAGGCCCTTGCCGAGGTCCTCGGGCCAGGGCCCCGTCACCACACCGACGTGTTTTGCGCGCATCAGGCTTGGATGCTGGCCTTCGGGCCAGGGCCAGGGCATTGAGGCCCATGTTGAGGCCTTCGGGCCAGGGCCTCAACATCCCCCTCTCGACGTGGATATCGCAGCGCAGGCTTGGAATATGAGGCCCAGGTTGAGGCCACGTTAAGGCCCTCGTGCCAGGGCCGCAACACCCCCCCCAACGCGAATTGCCGCACAGCAGGTTTGGATAATGAGGCCCATGTGTGGGCCGTGTTGAGTGGGCGTTGAGGCCATCAGGTCAGGCTTTGAACATCCCCCCGACGTGTTTCCCGAATAGCAGGCTTGGATGATGGAGCCCATGTAGAGACTCCCAGGTCAGGGCCTCGACATTCCCCCGGCGTGGATGATGGAGCTAATGTTGAGGCCATGTTGAGGCGCTCAGGCCAGGCCATCAACAGCCCCCCGACGCGTTTCCCGCACAGCTGGCGTGAATGGTGGGCTCTTGTTGAGGTCATGATGTGGCCATGCCCAGGCCCTCAGTGCAAGGCCCCGACATCGCCCTGACGTGTTTCCCGCATAAGTGGCGTGGATGATGGGGGCCTATTCTTGAGGCCACGTTGAGACCCTCAGGCCAGGACCTCAACATCCCCCCCGACGTGTTTTCCGCATAGCAAAGCTCGATGATCGGGCCCTTGCTGAGGCCCGGCCGACTTTGATCATCAACGCTTTTAACATTGAAAGCATGCGCGCGCGACCCACAACGTGCCCCTTGCGCTGTAGCCTAGGGGGGGAGGGGGGCCCTGGCGGACATGGCTTCTTCTGCGACGCGCCAGTCTGGTAGCCCGGCCTTTCTCCCAGAGACGGACCCTCCAGTGGGCAGCGGACGAACGTGAGTTGTCCTGTGCTTAGTGGGCCCTGGAAACGACAGGGCCGTTTTTTTACCGGTTCCGTTTTGCAATTGTTTGACGGTTCCGACGCCGCTTTTTTACCGGGTCCGTCGCCGCTTTTTGACCGGTTCGGGCTCCAGTTCCAATCTTGGAGCCGTTTTTGTTGCCGTTTCCGGTCGCCGTTTTCTTGCAGTTTCC